TTAAAAATCAAATGGACATTCTAAAATAGAAACTGTCAGAACACATGTCAGTAAAGGTATTGTTCTGTGAAACTTTTGCTTGGGTTATGTGTGTCCTGGGTCATGATGTAAAATATAGTTCTTAACTGTGATCATTATCCAACAAGCTTAAAAACCGTGGGCTAACCATGCCCCTTTACATTTGCCCTCCAGATCATGGGCAGTGTTTGAATTCTCTAGATGCTAGGTGTGTGTGCTTGTTGAAGACCTCTTATCAATTCTTTTGTTTGTTGAGTTGGGGGAAAGGTCTTTGGTATCTTCTTAGGCACTTAAATCTATCTGCTTAAACTCTTTGATCTTCTGTATATAATACCTTTATTTACCTGAAGACTGTGTTTCTTATACCCAATAAACTTTTCCTTTTTTTATTATCAAGATCATAAGACTCAATTTTGACACAGAAATGGGGAGGCATCACATTAAGCAACCACTAGTCAAACTAAAAAAAAATAAAAGTAATAGAAGAATGTTTTATTTACTACTGAATTGAGAAAAAGCTAAGTGAGATAAAGAACACAGTTATCTTTTTCCCTTAGGCTCTAAGCTTATTCAACACGAAGTATTTTATTTAGTTAGTTACTGTGAGGGTACGGATAACTAGGTTATGATATTTGCATTTGTTAGGTTGAGTCCCTCTTGTAGTTTTGTCCCCCTAAAAGGTGTGCCATATACCCCTACACTGTGCCCATTAAGTGGGAGTGTACCAGTCCCCTCCTCTCTTTTCCTCTACCCCTTGCTTACCCCTCCCCCCAACTTGAAATGAATTGACTTTTTCTCTTATGTGGACATATCTTAGATCATCTGCTGGCTTCCTGTTAGTATTGAGTACATTGGATATTTGCTTTTACATTCTTGTGATACTTTCCTAAGAAGGGTGTGTTTCAGCTTCATCCAGGTTAATACAAAAGATGTAAAGTCAATAGAAAGTATTTTAAATACTTACATAGATTCTATTCTTAAGGAATTTCTAAAATTTAAAATAATGTACATATTTGAAGATTTAAAAAGTTTTTTTGGACTTTGTGTTTATATTTAGTTTGCCACTAACATATAAATAGGATTAAAACATGACTAGTGAAGAAATCCATTATCTAGTAGTTTAGAGCTCCAGCTCTAGAATCAAATTCCTGGGTAAGAGTCTCTTTACTTCCCAGCAGCATGACCTTGGGCACCTAAAACTCAGTTTCCTTATAGCTAAATGAATAATGACATCACTTTCTCCTAGAGCAGTGGTTCTTAACCTTCCTAATGCCGCAGCCCTTTAATACAGTTCCTGTGGGGTGCAACCTACAGGTTGAGAACCTGTGTCCTGGAATGATGATGAGGATTGATTTGCATAATGCATATATAAACACTTAGAATGAAACAGTAGAATATTCCTTTCCAGTTTTTTCTTAGCTGAAAACTGGATTCTAGATCTCATCCTTAAGAGTATTACTGTGAGATACCTCTGTATTTCTTCTTTGAACTAATGATATTATTTTGTAAGTGCTTGTTTATGTACTTTAAAGATTCTACCTTGTGGCTCGGCGCCTATAGCTCAACCAGCTAAGGCGCCAGCCACGTACACCTAAGGTGGAGGGTTCGAATCCCCAGCCCGGACCCGCCAAACAACAATGACGGCTGCAACCAAAAAATAGCCGGGCGTTGTGGCGGGCGCCTGTGGTCCCAGCTACTTGGGAGGCTGAGGCAGGAGACTCGCTTGAGCCCAGGAGTTGGAGGTTGCTATGAGCTGTAATGCCATGGCACTCTACCCAGGGGACAGCTTGAGGCTCTGTCTCAAAAAAAAAAAAAAAAAAAAAAAAAGATTCTACCTTGTTCATCTTAACCACAATTATTACAGTCAAGCATTTAAATGAACTTAATGTTGAATCACTGAATCATCAAGATTTACATTGCTGCTCTGAAAAAGTTAGGCATTCAAGAATATGAGTGTTGTGATGGGAGTCTGGGGAGACCAGAGAATTGGGGAGCCCAATTAATATGGTAGAACAGAAAGAAGGGGGAAATCTCTTTCACGGCCATCATCCACATGTGTTTCAGCTACAGCCAGTTACTTAACAGGGACTCGGTTTCCTTGTCTATAAAGGCAAGGTGGCCCAGGTCAGTCCTGGGTTCCTCAGCGGTGCATTTAGAGATGAAGTCATAAGAAGGCAGGAGTAAATCTCAAGTTCTGCAGTCTGTTCCAAGCTAAAACATGATTATGATTCTACAATCAGTATAATACAGAGACAGTTTTTTGTGGCTTTTCATTTATTTTCAAGAGCCAGAATTTCTTGGGTGTTCGTCATTGCTCTGTAGGCCTTCATTCTCAGATTGCCACAACACATCTGACTTTTCCAGCCTGTCCTTTGTAATAATTTAGACTTAAATGCTATTTGGTAAATTTGCTTAATCACCAAATTTGGGCATTTTTACTTGGTAATATGGTGTTTACATACTCTCTAGTTACATGACAGTGTGGGTCCAAATATTATATACCTAGAAAGTAGCAATTCCTATTTCATCATATCTTTAGAGCTGTGTTATATGTTAAAATTAAAAGCTGGTCATTTTATCACACATTTTAACATTATCAAATTTTAATATGAAGAATATATTTGGACAGATTTTCACAATTTTTAATTCTGTCACTATTTAGTATTTCTCTAATACTTTTCTTCCCATAGTGTTAATCTAATTGGCATCATTTGGTATTCTGTATTAAAACTACAAATTCTAGGGCGGCGCCTGTGGCTCAATTGAGTAGGGTGCCAGCCCCATATACCAGAGGTGGTGTGTTCAAACCCAGCCTTGGCCAAAAACTGCCAATAAATAAATAAATACAACTACAAATTCTAGGCCGGTGCGGTGGCTCATGCCTATAATCCCAGCACAGTGGGAGGCCAAGATAGGTGGGTTGCTTGAGCTCTGGAGTTCAAGACCAGCCTGAGCAAGAGCAAGACCCCTGTCTTTACTAAAAATACTAAAACTAGCCAGGCATGGTGGTGTGGACCTGTACTCCCAGCTACTACTCTCTTGAGCCCAAGAGTTTGAGGTTGCTATAAGCTGTGATGATCCCATAGCACAGGTGTCCTCAAACTACAGCCCATGGGCCACATGCAGCCCGCCTAGGACATTTATCTGGCCCACTGGGTTTTTTTGCCGCCACTGCCTGTCCTGCTTAGCAGCCAACTCGTTCTGGGGCCCACAGTCTGGCTCCAACGGTCTGAGGGACAGTGAACTGGCCCCCTGTTTAAAAAGTTTGAGGACCCCTGCCATAGCGCTTTACCCAGGGCATCAGCAGAGTAAGACTCTGTCTCAAAAAAGGTAAAACTACAATTCTTTTTCAGTTTACTAAAAATTAAAAAATAGAGTAAAGGGAAAACATTTTTCTTTCTTTGATTTGTTTCTGCTGCTTCTTCTTCTTTTTTTTTTTTGCAGTTTTTGGCCGGGCTGGGTTTGAACTGGCCACCTCTGGCATGTGGTGCCAGCGCCCTATTCCTTTGAGAATAGGAACGCTGCCCCATTTCTTCTTTTTTGGAATTATTCATTTCTTAACCTGAAATTATCTAGAAATAAGAAATCTTACTGATTTTCTTTTGAAAGTATAAGCCAGTTTTATAAGAGGTCCAAGAGAACACCACAGGCAAGACAGCAGAGAAACTTCTGTACAAACACTTGATTAAAATTAAATAACACCTCTGCGATTGGACCGTTCTTCATTCAGTACAAATAAGCATGTATTGTGTTGGTTCTGGAGATGACTAGATGAGTAACACTGGAAGTACTCTGCCCTCTCAGCACGTTGTTGGGGCAAAGGTACCAGCTTGGTCTTGGAATATGATCCCTAGAAAGACTGTCTCATGGGGTGACACATTTTTAAAACATTCCAATTCACTGTAACTCTGATAGGTACAAGTAACATCTTAACCCAAAATTATTCAACTATTCACAAAACCTTTTGAATTGCGTGTATCTCACCCCCAACACACATAAGTGTGGGCAAATTGATTTTTTTTTTTTTGTATTTTATTTTTTTATTTTTATTTTTTTGAGACAGAGTCTCACTATGTCACCCTTGGTAGAGTAGCGTGTTATCACAGCTCACCCAACCTCAAACTCTTGGGCTTAAATGATTCTCTTGCCTCAGCTCCCGAAGTAGCTGAGACTATAGGCACCAGCCACAATACCCGGCTATTTTCTATTGTAGTTGTCACTGTTGTTTAGCTGGCCCGGGTGGGTTCAAACCCACCACCCTCAGTGTATGTGACTGTGCTATGGTCACCAAGCCAGCCAATTGATTTTAATAATGATTCTGAAAAACAATAAAGAAGGTTGAAAACGTACCCCCCCAAGGGACTGTAACGAACTGGTCAGCATATGAAGATAGTCAACATAAGGAATTAGGCCCATTGTACTGATACGTACATGATACTGTACTGTACTGTACTGTCCAGTCTGTGAAAATTAGGTCAACTTATGGAGGTGGTCAGGGTAGGGAGATGGTCAACTGTGGAGGTTCTACTGTATTTGCCAAATCTGTTCTAAATAATTTAGTACTATTCCTGTTGTTGCCTGCCTTGTTTAACATGAATTGAGAATTGACTGAGTTTTAGTCTGTCAGCAAAATATTTAGTTTTCATGGAGAATATTTTGAGGACTTAGAGATAAAGAACATATAGTTTACATATATGGGTTGAGGAGCAGTTTCTTCACTGTTGTAAAAATATGCAGTTGTATAGTCTTCTCACAACTCAATATATAACCCCTGCTTTTACAAGAGAACTAAAAGTCATGGTTGTCTCGCTCAAGGCAGCTAGCTTTAACATAATAAAATGTCTTCCTTTATTTTAACAGTCCAGTAATAGATAGCCAGCGAATGATTCTCATTAGCAAGCTAAGTGATAATCATTGTTGAAAAGTATGTAATTGCCGTATGCAGCAGTGTTAAATGTTTACTATTTGTTTTCCTTTCATAGAACACAAAGTAATTATAGTGGGACTGGATAATGCAGGGAAAACCACCATTCTTTATCAGTTGTAAGTATGAGTTTTCATTATTTTAGTTACTGAAACCTTCTATAATTAAGAACGAGATATAATATGATGAAAAACTTAAACATACAGTTTTTAATTTTTATCAAACGCAATTTTTATAGAAATGCAAGTAAAATAAACCGCTGTATATTTGCTAAAGCCCTCACAAGCATTCACTGTTTTCTGGCCTTGAAAGAAAGAGTTAATATTAACTAATAATAAATAAAGCACATATTATAAGTGTTGGGGTAAGGCAGTGAAGTAGATTTCACTTAGTTCTTCCTACTGTGAGGGTCATGTAATAAATTGGTATCATTACTAAGCTATTGGTACTGTCCTGACTGATCGCTTTGGAATTATTTTAACATAGTCCCGACTTGGCAAATCAAAAGAAAATATCGCTGTAGTAGCTTGTAATAGGGAGTAGCTTGAAATTCAGAGAAATATATTAACACTTCAAGTCCATGAATCCACTATGAATTCACTTGTCAGTGCCAAGGACGTGCTCTTGTTAAGCAGTGGAAATGGAGCTGTATCCTAAGCATTTTGACCAATAGTTATGAAGTACTGTGCCCCATGATGTGGCTCTTACCTTTTCCCACCTCGTCTTGCATTGGAAAGTGCAGTGGTCTGCTCCTCCGAGAAGTACTTCACTTAACCAATGCGTAATGTGATTTTTTAGCTGCTTAGCTAAAAAGCTGCTGACTTATGGTTTGTTTCAGCATTGAAAAACTACCTTTTTTTTTTTTTTAATTGAGACAGAGTCTCACTCTGTCACCCTGGGCAGAGTGCAGGGGCATCGTAGGTCACAGCAACCTCAAACTCCTGGACTCAGGCTGTCCTCCTGCCTCAGCCTTCTGAGTAGCTGGGATCACAGGCACCTACTATAATGCCCAGCTGAATAACTACTCTTTTAAAAAGCATTTTCATTCATTGGGCATTATGTATTATACTATTTAAATATGATTTAATATTTGAACCTCTCATTTTTATTGAAATAATCTTAGCTTCAAAAATACATATAAAATCCAAGAGTCACAAGCCTCCTTCAGCACAGGGCTGGCATGTTATCAGCAAATACTTGTTGAATGAATGTCAGTATTTTAAATATATTAATTAAAATTTTCATTTGCTCATGGCCTTATCTCTTTAGAACTAGTTTAGGTTGATAAGCCTGAAGTAATTTTTGTGTGTTAAGTCTCAATTTTCTCACGTAAACAGTCTTCAAAATTGTGGACAGCCTATTACCTAGTGACAGCCTATACCTAGGTGGCATAAAGTCACCTAGAACCTTGTTATTTTAGGATGGGGCATTGGTTCTCATCTAACAAGTAACAGGACATGGTGGTATTGGAATTTTTAGCCATAGAAATACAGTCCCAGTGCTCTCTTCTGTTTAAAAGCTTAAGCTTTTAGTTCATTCCATTAAAAACCCAGAAAACTTTCTTTGGGGGTTGTTCTTTGTCTAGCTATTTCTTTGCACAAATGGTTCTATTTTCATGCTAATTATCATCACCAACATTAATAAGGAAGATTGGTCTTAAAATATAGAGATAAAACTGGCTTCAGGTTCTCAAGATTGACAAGCGTTTTAATGGTGCCTTTCAACAGCTTAATGAATGAAGTGGTCCATACTTCTCCAACCATAGGAAGCAATGTTGAAGAGATAGTTGTAAAGAATACTCATTTTCTTATGTGGGATATTGGTGGTCAAGAGTCCCTGCGGTCATCCTGGAACACGTATTACTCAAACACAGAGGTATGCTGAGATTACTCTTAAATTTAAATGAGAAGAACCAAAGAGTAAGCACGGAAAATAGGCTGCCGTGAAGGCATCTTGACAGTTGTCTTGTAATAAGTTCCTTTTTGGCAAGGAATTTGGGTTTTCAAGTAAAAGGCAAGTAGAATTGTTATGAAAGCTGTTATTATGCTGCGTATTAGTTGAGTGGTTACTGTTGGTCAGGCTCTCTCGGTTCATCCTCACAATAATAACTCATCTCCCGTGTTGTAGAAATCTGACACAAAAAGAAATTATGTACTTTTTCCCAAGTTCTCATAACTTTATAACAAGCCTGATTGGGTGAGGAGAAAAATACTTTAAGCATAATTTAATAAACTGTTTCAAATAACGTGAACTGAACATTGAAAATTTTGGTTAGATTGCATTTTAATTTCTAAAAACGGATTTGCTGGTCCTCCCCCAGCGCGCTCCGTCACGCTGCTGCTTTTGTTTCTTCTTCCTGGCATTTGTTTTTTAAGACCGCAGAGTTCTGTTGAAAGGTTTATTTCTAAGAATGCTGGTGTACCATTGCTTCAGTTTCATTTCTCTTTGCAAAGAGGTACACTTACCCAATTTTTTCTAAAATGATACTTTTTAAAAATTGGAGTTTGTGGGAGGACAGAGGGGGAAAGGGATATAAGGATTTTTGGTCAAAAAAGAAAGGATTTCTTTTCTTTTTAAAGAAAAAACATATATCCTAGATTTATATGGTAATAGCTTATGTATATGTGTATAAGTAGGAAACTAGACAGTATGTCATAGATAATTTAGCAATTGTGGTAGCAATTAATTGTTTTCTTGTGGGGACAGAAGGCGGTGGTAAGCAAATCGTCAGGTTGTAGGGCACATTTGTACAGCAAAATAACATTCTAAAGCTAGAATATGCTAGAGTAAGGGAAGAACATCATTTTAGCATATGATTTATTTAAATAGCCTAGCTATTGGTATTTTTTTAAAGCTCGCAACTCAATTTGTAAACAGAGTATTTATCTTTGATGCACTGGTCAAAGTTGATTCTAGAAGACTCAGTATGGGTCCAGAAAGAATGTTTTACTAATGTTATTTGCATGCACTATCTTTTAATAAGCTATTTTTACAAGAATATGAAAATCACTCTAAAGATCAAAGGCCTTTATTGCCGCCCACCAGCATAGCCCAGAGCATCTGCAACCTTAGGCTATGGGTAGAGCTCCTGTCTGTGTGGTTTTCCACCAATTACTTTGTTCACCCTTGGTGTCTTGCTTTTGAAAATTCTTTAGGCTCGGCGCCT